TAAGACATTGCAAATAAATTGTTGTTGGCATTTTCTTTTTATAACAGAAACCCGAGGCTTCTCCTAGTAAAAGAGGGACCTTAGACATCTACCTGAGCCAGAAACCCACCAAGGGAGTCAGGTAAAGCCTGATATTCCTGTGTCCTAGGGTCTTGGGCATGCTAGCCAAGAGCTCTACCCTGAACTGCACTCCAGCCTCAGGTAAAACCTTCGGTAGCATAATAAGACCTAGATACTATTGGAGGGTGGGATTCATTATCCAGAGGTCTGTGAAGGGTTTGAACCTGAAGAGAACCCGCTGAGAGAGAAGACACACTTGAGACCGCATAATTTCAAAGTCTGTATCTCATCATCATTCATATTTGGAGATTAAAAAAAAAAAACAAAAACAAAAACAGGTGTTGGAAGAGGGAGAGTGTTGATGGGATATCAAAAGTCTCAAGGAACCCAGACCAGAACCCAAGGCCTCATTTGTGCTCATCTGGAGCGATTTGTTGCTGGTTGTGTTTTGGAAACTGGATAAGAGCTCCTATTTTAAAAGGGCCATGGCTGTGATAAAAGTCAGACCACAGGTGAGTTTATAGCTCAGAAGTGGGGTCTAAGGTGTGGCTCAGTGGGAGGGCACGAGGCCCTGGGTTCAACCTCCAAATACCAACCAGTGACTCAACCACAGAACTCCCCTAATGGTCTACAAAATTCCATGACTCTTTTATGGGGGGCTAGGGGGTCTTCAAGACATGGTCACATGTATCGCAGACTGCTTTGAATTTGCTCTTTAGCAAAGGGTGACTTCTGACTTCTGACCTTTCCGCCTTCCCTGGCTGACGTTCTCTAACTTCTGAGAAAATGTTAGCTGGTCTTGCAGGACTAGAGTAGCCGGAATGTAAGGTCCAAGGTCACACAGGTGGTCCAGCAGGGACTTAACGCTAAACCCTCTCGCTGCTTTAAATGTCGAGTTTAAGGAAGATTGGAAAGCACTTCCGTGTGCACCCGGGAAGGTGGTGCTGAGTCTGTGCAGAGAGGAGGTCAGGGCCTGTTATGACTCCCCGTCATGTGTACAGCTTCCCAGTGGGGGATTCAGAGTCCCTCAGTTCCTGGGGCCAGACTTTGCCAGCACGGAGTAGTTCAAAGGCCAGGGAAAGTGGAAGGAAATGCCCTGTAGCACTGAGAGCCCGCCTCTGGGCCGACACAGCTGCCTTGATAGATGCAGACATTAGCACAGGTTTTCAGTGGGTCGAGGGCTGTTCCCGTGGGCCACCGGGTTGCACACATTTACCCTAAAAGACGATCAAGAAACAGCTGATTACAATCCTAGGAGCCTCTGCAATGTTTCCACAGGTATGCTGCAAGACTAATCCCGAGGATCCAGCATGGGTGCTTTACCAAAGAGGACTCCTGTCAAGGGAACCAGAACCCAGGGAGCAGGTTCCTGTGCCGGAACCCTGGGGACAGCATCCCGTGCCGGAACCCTGGGAATAGCATCCCGTGCCAGAACCCTGAGAACAGCATCCCGTGGAGCTTGAAGCTGGCCATCCTTGGCATTTTCATCATCGTGTTGTTCGTCTATATAACCGTGGAAAAGAAGCCGCTCTTGCGTTAAACCCTTTAGGGGCAAAGCCGAAGGGCCGTGGCTACAGCCGGGCAGCCCCCCACCCCCCTGCCCCGTGCGCTCCCTGCCCTGTACTGGCTCTCCAGGCTGCATCGGGGTTCAGCTAGGTAGAGGAGCAAGGGCTATGTGCATGATGGTCTGTAAGTCAAGTAAGCCATCATTAAATGTGCTAACACATCAGAGCAGAGAGCTCTTCTGTAAAGTGCCTGGGCCTCCCTCCCTCCCTCCTTCCCTCCCTCTCTCCCTCCCTCCCTCTCTCCTTACCCTGTAACAAAGAGGCTTCACATTCTTATATCAGATCACTTGTTAGTACAGAACATAGAAACAAAGAGAAAATTATATTCTCAATAAAATGTGTCCAACTCTCCAGTCAGTGGTGACATTTCCAGTTTGGCATGGTGATGACAGTGACCTTGAGAGGCACAGGTCTGCCCCTCCTCACTGTAATCCCTCAGACTCACATAGGTTCTTGCTCTGTGACGGCACCTGACTTTATCTCTGTTTTTCATCCTTTGGGGAAGAGGATGTTTTTTGCAGTTTCTTTTGGTACTCTGTGACTTTTCCTGGGAAGATGTAAACAAGTATCTGTTTGCCCCAGATAGGACACTGAAGACAGACGGAAAAGAAAAAAAGAATGTAGGACTCCAGTCCAGCTTGGTGAACCTCCAGGTTTATTGTGATCATTTCTGGGTGCAGGAGTGAAGCTCTCCTTTCGGGAGCATGGGGGAGGGCTGGGGAAAGCTGTGCTTCTGGGCTTCCTGAAGAGCATGCGGGCAGCTCCATCAGAGAGGCCCCCCTCTCCAGGGACCATTTCTTCTGTGAGCTCAGAGAGGAGCCTCATGAGCCTGTTGGGGAATATGACTTTAAGATGTGTTGCTTTTGTTGATGTTGCAGTCTGTGAAGCTGTGTTACTTTGCCTGTCTAAAACACTTGATGGTCTAATAGAGAACTGAACGGCCAATAGCGAGGCAGGAGAAGGGATAGGCGGGGCTGGCAGGCAGAGAGAATGTATAGATGGAGAAATCTGGGAGGAGAGATCATGGAGCAAGAGAAGAAGGAGGACATCAGGGGCCAGCCACCCAGATACACAACCAGCCATGGAGTAAGAAAGAAAGGTAGACAGAAATAGAGAAAGGTAAAAGCCCAGATGCAAAAGACAGCTGGGTTAGTTCAAGTTAAGAAAAGCTGGCAAGAAAAAAGCCAGGCTAAGGCCGGGCATTCATAATTGAGAATAAGCCTCTGTGTGCAATTTATTTGGGAGCTGGGACTTTCTGAGTCTTAAGAAGCCTCCTCCAGGATGACATTTTATTTCCAGGAAACTGCTATGTCAGGATAGGAATGTGTCTGCCAGTCAGCGCACCAGGTGAGTTTAAGGAGTCTGCTTACACAGCCAGGGATGGATCGTTTAGACCAGTCACAGCCAGCTTGGTGTGCAGCAGGAATCAGTCTTTGAGGCTTCTCATCAGTCCTCCGTCGTAGTCCCTCCACTGGATAAGCGTGCCCCCTGTGGCCAAGTTAGAAATGGTTCTTCCAGGCTTGTGAGTGCACGGTCTGACACAAACTGAGGCTCCAACTCTCAGCTGCTGTCTTTTGCAGAGTTGTCCCAAGGCATCTACGGAGTGTTCATGATGGCTGGCGCTGGCTTCAGGGTAGTCTAGGCAGCTGTTAGACGGACAGTCCTGTTGCTCAAGGCAGCCTGGGCGGTAAGAGAGAGTTCAGCTGCTGACTAGTGAGTCACGTAGCCCCATCCCCAACAACTCCGCTTACTTACAAGAAAGTGAACATGAGAGAGATCACAGAATAAAGCCTTAGAACATACCACTCATGATCACAGCAATTTTAACAATGTCCCAACAATCCTTTGTACCCACCCAGTGCCCAGGGATACATCTCATTGTGATTAAGAAACTTTGAGGGGCTGGAGAGATGGCTCAGTGGTTAGGAGAACTTACTGCTCTTCCAGAGGACCTAGGTTCAATTCCCCAGTCCCAGGGAGATCCAACACCCTCTTCTGGCTTCTACAGGTACTACACACACAGTACAAAGACATTCATGTAAGCAAAACACCCATACACATACAAATAAATCTTAAAAGAAAAGTTCGTTTGAAAATAACTACATTATTGGAAATATTGAGAGATGCTTACAGCAACTATTCTAACCATGAAGTGAGAAATATAAAAGAGGGATTGAGGAGTTGACTCAGTGGTTAAGAACACAGGCTGCTCTTCCAGAGGACCTAGGTCCGACTTCCAGCACCCACATGGTGGCTCACAACAGTCTGCAACTCCAGTTTCAGATGTAACACCTTTCTCTGGTCTCCATGGGCACTGCATGCATATGATGCACAGATATACATGCATGCCAAACACCTGCATGTATATCTGCAGGTGTATATCTACACACACACACACACACACACACACACATACACACACACAATTTAAAAAAAAGAAGTTTATACTTATGCCAGTTGTGGTGGCACATACCTTTAATGCCAGCAGAGGCAGGAGAATATCTGAGTTTGAACAGGTCATCCTGTTCTACTGAGTGTAGTCCAGGACAGCTAGGGCTATACAAAGAAACTCTGTCTTGGAAAAAGAAGAGGAGGAGGAGGAGGAGGAAGAGGAAGAGGAGGAGGGGGGGGAACAACTCACAGACGTTGGCCTGATACCTTAGTACTGCTGAAACAAGCTCTGCCCAGGCTATCAGACCAGCATTTAAGGCAGGGCGTAAAGGATTATCTGGAGCTCATCACCAGCTCCGTGTCATATATTTAATCCAGAGCAGCGAGGAAGATTGGGGGAAAGAGCTTCTGACTTTAACACCCTCTATATTACAGACCAGGGGGAAGAGCACTGGACAAGGAATGAACCAAATGAAGGAAACACCCCGGGAAGCTGCCAGAGTGCATGCGTGCCTGTGTGTATGTGTGGATGCTTGTGCATTTGCGCATGCACCGGTGGGTTCTCACAGATCAGAATCCTGGAATCAGTTGAAAGAAAGTGCACATGACCCAGTTTCATGATTTGTCACTCTAGGGCTTCTCCGCTGGCCAGCAGCAGCTCAGACCTCCACCTCACCTCAACCTGCTTGCTGTTTGTTTTGAGACAGTTATCACACTCTGATGCTTAGCTGGCCTGAGGGTACAAAAAAAAAAAAAAAAATCAGGTTCAGTCACTTGCCTAAAAGCCAAATGATTGGTGCACATAGCAAGTTCCAAGCCAGCCATGGCCACAGAGTGAAATCCTATCTTAAAAAAACAACAACAGGGGCTGGAGAGGTGGCTCAGAGGTTAAGAGCACTGCATGCTCCCCCAGAGGTCCTGAGTTCGAATCCCAGCACCAACATGGTGCCTCACAACCATCTGTAATGTGATCTGATGCCCTCTTCTGTCCTGCAGGCATACATGCAAATAGGGCACTCATCTACACACATAAACAAATAAACAAACAAATAAGTAAAAGAAAACAACAAAACCAAAAAACAAACAAACACAAAAACAAATGGGAAGTGATGGTGAAGAACAGGCAGGGACTTGAATCAGCACAGAGGGACGAGGCAGAATCAGGGACAAAAGGCATAAATGGCTCATTAGCCTCAGTCGGAGTGTGAGCCGGTTGATTATTATCTCAGAATTGGTCAAGTGAGCCTTATTGGAAGAAGAAAGCCATGGCAGGCAGCCTGGGGGTAGATTCCACTCCAGGTCCACTCCAGGCACAAGATGTTTCTTGGTCAGACCAAGGTTGTTCCTGGAATCTATGGTGAACAGAAATACCCAGAGCAAAGAAGACAGGTGCAAAATGGAGGCGGAGATGCCAAGTTCTTAATCTGCTTTTAGTTCCCCATAGGCCACCTGCAGGCCCAAGTGAGGAGGAGTCAGCAAAAGCAGCCCGAGAGTCCTTGCTACGGAGCCCAGCTGGGCAGAGGCACAGGTTGCACATCTCGACGTCTGGAGAGGCTGTATTGGGACTGAACTGTCACCTGTGGAATCCCTCCCCTCTCCCCAGGGAGATAGTGTCAGAAGTGAGTCGGGACAATCAGCTGGTGTGTGCTGGGGAGTGTGGCATCCGAACGGCTTGGCCTGTGGGGAGGGAACTCATTTATCAGGTGTCAGGAGAGCTTTGATTTGTGACAGTGGGAGACACCTTGGGTTTTCCCATCTCTAATAGACACTGACAGGACTCGGGATAGAGGGAACGGAGGGAGAAGTCTCTCAGGAGCCTGAGTGTGCCGAGGCTAGCTTCCAGAGAGGGACGAGCCTGTCTGTGGAAGACACTCAAGAGGTGCAAATTCAATAACTGATTTGCAGCCCTGTGTGCTTGTGATAAGGTTGACAAATAAAATTAACAGAAGACACATTTCCTGCTCTCAAGGAGCACAGTGTGGTGCTGGGATGGGGAAGTCAAGAGGCCGTTTCCGGCGTTGAATAACGTCCTTTGACAATGGTGCAGACCGTCCTGGGGGTCGTCATCACAGACACCACGTGTGAGAACTTCTGGAAGAAAATGATGTCATGACTAGGGAGGAAGGATGAGTAAGAGTCGGTCGGAAGAAAGAGGTGGAAGTGGGCGAGGCTAAAAGTCAGCCCAGCAGAGTGACACTGGAGACGGAGGGACCAGAAAGAGCGAGGAGCGGTGAGACACATGGCCACCAAGGAAGGAACGATTCCCATGATGGAGTCTTGAAGGTCAGCATGGTCTACATCAGGGTAAACTGGTGCTCCCAAAGAACTTTCTAGAATCAACAGTACCAGGTGCAGTAGCACCCAGCTATGTTCTGAGAACCCAGGAGCAGCGGCAGGAACTCTTGCTGTGAACTCAAGGCCACCTAGGTTGACACTGCCTCCCTCTCTCTGGCTGTTTTCATGCCAGTTTCCATCGCCACCCCTGAGACAGCGGCGGGGGGGGGGGGCTCTAAAAAGGGGGCAACCCCAGGAGCTGTAGCTGAGAGACTGAGAGATGTGAGGAGTGCTCGTCAGTTCTTAGAGTGTGACGCCTTGGCAGTGCCAGGATCCAGGAGTTGCTCATCCAGCATGTATGGGGGGAGGGGGGGAGCACGCTTCCACCACGTGCAGAGATGGCCTCAAGGGATCTGCCCAGAGGCTGTGACAACTGCCGGTGAGTGGGTAGAAAGGCAGCTCCAGGGGACCCTGGAGTCATCGGGAAGCTTTGCTGCAATTGAGGGGTATGAATAGGGAGGTGGGGAGGAGACACCTTTAACTCCTCAGCTTAGGGAACTCTACGAACATCCCTGGCTGTCTACTAAGTGTCCACATCTTTTACATCCCTCTTTTTCAGGCTCTGTTTTCCCCAGTGACTGGGAGAAATATGCAGGCGTAGCGCTGACTGATAACCCAGAATCCACGTTCTCCATCCTGGCCGCCCACCTGGCTGATGCAGGGAATGCACGCCACTTTCTCTGCAGCTGTCCTGTCTAGAAACTGGCCACACTACAACAATATCAGCTCTGCTCGTGGAGGTTGCTCACGTGTTCGACACTTTGGAAGGAAGAGAAAATTCAAATGTCGGAGGGAGGAAGAACCACACACTAGATGCTGAATAAGTCATGCCCAGAATCCTGGGCAGACGAAAAGTCTAACCCCAGCCAAAAGGGTCCTCTCCCAGATGCCTAGCAGCCCCCAGCCCCACTTTCCTGTCTTGGGGATCTTTTGGAGGACATTACCTTCAGAGTGAGTCTGCACAGTCATACCCACCTCTTCAGCGGGCACACAGTGTCTCAGACTCCTGGTGGAGCCCTATAAGAAGCATTTGCCTCGTCTCAACACAGTACACTAAGCTTCCATCTGCTTCCAACCTGGACAGTATGTGGTTTTAACTCTGTGCCCTTCCCTGCTGCACACCTGGAGTCCAGGTGAGTAACAAACAGGACATCAGTGTCTCATGCTTCCAGAGAGCCATGAACCACCCCCCCACCCCCACCCCCTGCAATTTCACCTTCAGCTATTCAATGACTCTGAAGAAGCCATCGCATTGAGATTTTGAGCTTTGGCCAAATCAAACACCAAGGCGGGGCTTCTCCCTGGCTGTTCTCAGTAATAGGAGGAAGTCAACGTGGGTTTTCTCCTCTTCTTGTTTAGAGCGAACTCCTGGGTATGGGGCGGGGGAGTGGGGGGTGGTGGTGGTGTTTTTCCAGCTCTGACTGTCCCACTGTCCTCTTGCAGACTGTGGAGCTCCTGGTTGGAGAACTGTGTCTCAACAGTCTCTCGATCTCGTGTCAAGCTGAGCTCCGCACTCACTCCAGAAAGAGCTTGTTTCCTTTTGAGCGCTTTCCAATCCAAACAGACATTTGAAACCACAAGACTATGACCCAGATCTTGGAAGAGAAGCCCTGAAAATGAACAAAGGGCTTGCGAGACATTTGGTGGCCTCCACCCTGCAGCCTCTGCTTGGAACAGGCTGTCATCCCCAGGGCCTCGGGTGTGCTCAGGTCTGTGAAGGTCACTGCCACTGCTTATCTCAGGGCCAGACCCGCCACCCAGTTAGAGCCATTTCCTTCATGGTGAACAGGTGTGGGGGACACTGGCTAAGAATCCAGTTCATTGCATGTCACCCAGGAGCCCTGGCCTGTGTTCTCCATCTAGGGCAGTAAAGCCTGTGCTGCCCGGCCGTCTGTGCTGTGTACGTCTCTATTCAGCCAGTGTGCAGGCTGGCAGATGGAAGGCATTCTTAAAGGCTCTATTTTTGTTGTTTTGTTTTTTGACATTCACAGCAATGCTGTGCTACCTTTTAAAATAATTGGCTAAGAACCAATTTCTTCTCATCGCCAGTCATAAATAGAGGAGTGTCAGACCACATTGTCCAGATCTACAGAGGCTGCCCGTGAGTCTCCGCGTCAGAAGGAAGGGTTATTTGTGTTTGTGGTGCTGTCTTTATTTTTAATCTTCTCTTCTTCCTTCCCCGCCACCCCCACAGCCCTCTAAGGGGAATTCTTGTTGAGCTGCTGGGGATGTGGTTCAGTGGTAGGGTGTTGCCTAGCATGCGTGAGGCCTAGCTTCCATCCCAGCAACTCTAAGAAAAGAAAATACACCTAAAAATGGAAAGTCTTGTTGATTCGAGGAACTGAAGTAAAATTAAACTTTACTCTCTCCTAAAGCCAGAACTTACCCCAAGACTAAAGTAAGAAAGTGCTGGGG